TGGGTCCCTGTGCCAGCAGATGGATGTATTTTTCTTGAAAGACCAAGGTGCCAGAAATCTCCATGATTACGTTACTGGAGCGAGGTTCTTTTTTGTGGTTTGCGAAGTTGAGCGTCAGGACTGCAGGATTCTCTTGCTCTTTCTCGCTCTTATTTTTTCCAGGTCAGAACCAGAGCCTGGGGTGGGGAGGAAAATCCTGCTGAATGAGCAAGTTCTTTCTTAAAAAGCTCACTCCAAGTCCAAAAAGACTTCAGTGGACTTAGGAGAAAGAAACTTAATACATTGCCATAGAATCATTGTGAACCAAGTAAAGCCAAGTCCACAGCATCTTTGTCTTATAAAAGAAAGCAAAGAGGAGATGGAAAAAAAGAAATAATGCTTAGGAAATCCAAACCAAACAAGGGAAACTAAGGAAGGAAAACTAAAGATCACCTCAGAGAATGAAGATTTCCTTCTAATAAGACTTTCAATTACAAAACCAGGCCCAGGTAGAAGTGCTTTTCTGTTCTTTCTCCTTGCCATAATGACATACCTGAAATGTTTGAACTCGGACGGAGTTTGCCACTTGCAGCGTGAGAGTTGGACACCCTGCAAGACTAGTGGACTGTGCGGGGAAGAGTCAACCACGGAGCAGCTGGAGGCTTCCCAGGCTGGTCCTTGACCCGCGTTTGAACCTTGGTCCTAATAGCTAGCAGATTGAAGCAGGCTCGAGGCCTCCCGGAGAACCCATGTCTGTTTGAACTTGAACAAGCCCAGCCACAGAACTAGCACTATGCATCTACTACCTACCTCTCAGTGCGCCCCTGTGAGAGGAGCTCAGTGCTGGACCCTGGGGTCACCCCTGGTCTATGACAGTGCAGCCCGCAAGTGCCATCCAGGCCACGGTCAGAGAGAGACCTGATTGCCCATCAGAGGTCATCGTGGAGCTCTTGTGGACAAGACAGGCGAATCCTAGACTTCTTGATGCATTTTTTGCCCATCCAGGGTCAGGCCAGGTGTTTTCAAAACAGCAGAAGCACTGAGCTGGTACCTTCCTTAGCTGATGGAGCTTAACGCCAAGTGGCCTGAGCATGATGTGTACCTGACATATGGAAGACTGCTTGCTCGCGAGCCCAGGGAACATCTGCATGCCACCCTTAGCCACCCTTTCCTGTCCCATCCCATCACTCTTCTTTGGGTCACCTCATGAGTATGATCTGGCTCTTTGGCTTCACTGGGTTGGCCTCCAAAATAAGGTCACATTTCCTTCAGTGGTTACATTCAGTGACTTCCATGCATACCCCTCTCCTGCTTAGCCTGGGGCATTTACTCTTCTCCTTAGGTTCACCTGAAGGGTCTTCCTCAAGGAATGTCTGAGGCCCTGAGGAAGACTTAGTCCTGAATCAGTCCTTCTTGTTGCTCACCTGTGGCCACTTGCTGGGAGGATGGCCCCGCTGCCTCTCTTGTTCCCCCAGCCCCCAGCCCAAAGACGCTGAAGGCAGGTCTCTTGTAGTTCCAGCAACCTCAGCAGGGCCTACATCCTGCCTACCCATGGCATACGGGGAAAGGCTCTGCTCTTCTGAGGGTTCTATCCCCTTCCACTCACCCCAGATCCTCAGCTCACCCATGCTGCCGGTTTCCCAGAGGCCCACGCTGTAGCATAAGAACTGGTCAGAAGGGGTCCCAGCAGGAGTCTCACCCTCTTGCTACCCTGAGCCTGCCCTCCTCTGTGATCTAGCATGAGCCCCTGAAAGTGGAAGGCTCTTCCATGTCGTGCCCAAGGGAGATGTCCTGTCCTTTGTCCAAAAGAAAGCCTTTCTCCTAACTAGACCATCCAGAGGCCTCCTTCCTCTGCCGGCAGAGTGGCCTGTGACTGCCCTTGGGGCCCTTGCTGCTTCCCCTCCTTGCTCAATACCAAGAATGCTGCACAGTCAGAACTGCCTGGTTCACTGGGGAGGGCTCCTCCTGCTTGACGTGGCAGCTGCCTGTGGAAAGGAAAAGATAAGCCCTCCTGATGTCTTAGATGGCTGTCATTCCAGCAGACCCACTTTCCAGGCTGCGCCTCTCCGTGGGTTGGTCCCTGCAGGCCCTGGCTACAGCCAGCACGGACACTGATGGCAGCCTGGTTCATATGGTGTGGTCAGCAGCTACTGTTGAGTGAAGGACTGTGTGCACCTCTTCATAGGCACCACTAAGAGGGGAGCACTGGGCACCGAGAGAATTGGAGCCGCTGCTTGTCGTCTGGTGGCACAGTTACTGAGTGGGGCAGATGTGAGGCAGCATTTCCTTACTGCAGTAAGAGGAGGAATAACAAACTTGGGTTGCCCTGCCAGGCGTGGCTCAGCGGTTGAGCACCGACCCAGGATCCAGGTGATCAGGGTTCGATTCCCGGTCAGGGCACATGCCCGGGTTGCGGGCTCCATCCCCAGTCGGGGGCATGCGGGAGGCAGCCGATCAGTGACTCTCTCATCATTGATGTTTCCATCTCTCTCTCTCCCTCTCCTTTCCTCTCTCTGAAATCAATAAAGATATATTAAAAAAAACACACAAAAAAAACTTGGGTGAAATAGGAAGACTAAAGAAAGGTCTGTCCAACCACATCAAAATGTGCGGAGGGCAGGGCAGCCCGCAGGGGGCTAGTTCTGTGTCTGCAAGTCAGTGACTGGAGCACTGAGTCATTCGTTGTAAACAAGACGTTCTTTTTTAAATCCTCACCGGAGGATATGTTTTTTTAATTGATTTTAGAGAGAGAGAAAGGGGGAGAGAGAAAAAAGACATCAGTGTGAGAGAGAATATCAGTTGCCTCCCATATGTGCCCCAACCGGGAATCAAACCCACAGCCCTTTGATGTCTAGGACGGTGCTCAACCAGCGGTGCCACGTGGCCAGGGCCTGCTGCCGTTTTGCTCTTGTTCCTTCCAGTCTTTCTTCTGTGCAGTCTTTGTTATTTACATCATCTTCTTATATATAATCAAGTATGCATCCTGAGTTTTTTCCATCTAACCCAGATATGTTCCCAGATTAATAAGAATTCTTCATAAACAGTGTAACGGCTGCATACTCTTCTGCATTGACTCTGGTGTAGTTTATTAACCATTCCACTATTGCTGATCTTTTAGAGTCTTTCCAGCAGATAACACTGAGGTGAACAGTTTTGCAAAAACAGTTTTTCCTCCTGCATTTATAATAATTTTTTTAAGCCATAGATTCATAACTTAAATCACTAAGTCAAAGGATTTAAACATTTCTAAGCAGCAAAGTCTTCAAAACAGACTAGATGGACATAGACCCGACCTTAGCTGCAGGGGAGAGGAGGTAAAGAGAAAGAGATTGTATTGAATAGACTTTTTAAATAATTGCTTTCCGTTTTGCTGAAGGAGGGCTGGGAAGAACCAGGCAGTGCTCTGCAGGGAAACAGCCTTTGACCAAAGTCTCTGGCTTCGTGGCGGTGAAGGGCTTGTTTCTGGTTCTGTGTTTTCATCTGGGTCAGTAAGAGGACGCCCATTCCTGCGAGCTCACTTCCCTCTAAGGAGCGAGAACTCGTCCAGCATCTAATGATGCAGATCATTAGCTCTGTTAACAGCCTTGCAGTTAGAAAAAAGTTATAATAATGTATCCTCCTAATGTGCAGTTAATTTTAGTGAAAAGTTCCCTAGTGATTTAAAAAAACAGTGAATTTGTAAATCTAGTCACTGGCTCTGCATTTGGAAATGTTAAAGCTGCCGTAGCCGACTCGGCTCTAGCAGGACACACAGAACCTCCTGAGCTCCGGCTCCCAGCGACGCAGATGGAGTTCTGCACTCACCTGAGCACTAAACGCCCCCCTCCGGGATCCAGGAAGTGAGACCATTACCAGAGTCCTTGTTCCTGACCTTTCCTAACCAGAGAGAGCTAATGCGTGCCTCCAGGTTAACATGTCCACAGTTAAACTTTTGACTCCCTATCCATGTCCAAGTTCAGTCTTCCCACCAGCAATGGAACAGCCACCTGCCTGGTTAGTCAAATAAAGAATTGAACCATCCTTGAGTTCTTCTTTTCCATCCTAACCACTCCCCAACATCAAATCTATCAGTACATCCTGTCTAGTCTACTTCTAAAAGTTCACTTCAAAGATAGATCTCAAATTGTTCATTTCTGCCCCTCTTGCTTGCCCGCCCTCTATGTCCAGACCCCATCACTGCCCGCCTGCTCTTCTCAGTAGCCTCCTGCAGGGCTCCTGCTTCGCTTTCTCCCCAACAGTCTGGTCTCTACATGGTAGCCAGAGGGATCTTGGTAAAGCATAACTTGGATCATGTCATCTACCGCTTCTGTAAAACATGTCATAGTCCTTCCTTTGCTATTAAATAAAGGCCAAAATTTCTAATGTAGCCAAGGAGGTCCTGCATTTCCTGCCCTGGCCTTCCTCTCCAGCATCACTGCCCACCGTGTCCCCTACATCTAGTGAGTTCTCTTGAGCAGCCACCTTCAGTAACTGTACCTTCTGCACCACGGCTTCTATGCTCTCTGCTGAGAACCTTCTACTCTCCCCATCCTTCCCCACATGGTCCCGGTAACCTCCTCCTTTCTGCAGTCCTAGTCTAGGCCCAGTTATTTACTTCTATAGAAACGGGAGTTTTTCCTGCTTCAGAGGACCTATTTTAATTTGAAGGTTTTTATGTGTATAGTCACTTATTAGTTTATGTCGTTGATGTCCGTCTCCTGCACTAGAGCGTAAGATCATGAAGGAGGCCCCTTTCTGCTGCTGTTCACTGTTCTTTCCCCATCAGCCAGCTTAGTGTCCCAGGTAGGTGCTTAATAAATAATTGGTTGCATGCTCAATGAATAAGTAGAGTCCTGGTAACAGTCCTTATTGACAACAGTGTCCCTGTAAGGCATGGGCTCTTCCCAGAGGTAGCAGGCCCTGGTTCTCCACATGTCGGCTGGAGAGAATGTGATTTTGCTTATTTTTTTTTCCTTTCAGCTGTCAGAATGAACAGAGCATGCTGCCTAAAACTTATGTGTTTTTCTCTTCTCTTTCTTCAGCTTAAGCTTGCTTTCACTCTGGACCACGAGACTGGATTGCCTCAAGGATGTCACATCTACGAGTACCGCGACAGCAACAAGTAAGCCACTCAGAGAGAAGGAGTGTCAGCTCGCTGTGTCCTGTAGGGGTAGCACCTGTGGGCTTTCTACACTGGGCTCCTACATAGGGATTGTCAGGCGGAGAATCACACTTTTGCGACTGTACTAGAAAATGGGTGGCAGAAAAAATATTTCTCCTATAACACCTCTTTTGCCCCTAAATAGAGAACTTGTGGTGCTTGTGTAGGAGCAGTTGTGATGTTTGACATGTGTGTCCCGAGGCCTTCCTTTCCAGGACCCAGCTGTCCTCCAGACCGGCCCTGCTTTCATCCCAGCCATGTGCTGCTAATTCTGTTCACTGTGTGACTTTGGCTCTCGTCGCAGTTCTGTCTGACTACACTTGTGTTTGCAGGTTTTGTTGTGATCGTCTACCTTGTGAACTTTGTGGTTGGGGGATTTCTGAGAACTTCCAGAGGTGTAACCTGGTGGCCTTATTAGAAAGGTGACACCTGGCATGCTTCATAGCCCCTCCTTTTCCTGGCAGATGCCACCGTGACTATGTTTTTGTCTGTGGACAGTGAAAGTGGTAGTGAGCAAGGCAAAGGGAGTATGCCCTGATGTTGACAATGACAGTGAGGATGGTGACGCATAATGATGGCAGCCAGCGTTGAGGACCGCTGCTGGGTGTTAGCGCAGTACTCAGACATTACACTTGCTACCCAGTTAGATCCTCATGACAACCCAAAGACTTTTCTTTTACCATATGCTGCTGCAGCGAGCCCTCGAGTTTTCTTTTATTATTGTTGTGTCTGTAGAAGCTGAGTTCGAGGACACTTGCTCACCGTCACTGGCCAAGCTTTGAGCGCTGTGTGAGGCAGAGTCACATTATCATGTTTACTCCAGGGAGAGAATAGACAGAAGACAACTGCTGTCCCACGTTGCTGCCTTTGGAAACCTCAGTCGGTGACAAGAACGGTCCCAATACGGACTTGAGGACAGCATGCCGTGGTCTAAATGTTTAAAGATCCAAGCTGCTTAATTGTATTCAGTGGAAGGAAGCAAATAGTCACACACCAATGGGACTACACATTATCTTCCAGAAGAGAAACTCGTGTCTTCCTCACAGCTCTTGCTTTGCTGTGGGTTGGGATGGTCCCTGGGTGTCTCATGATCTAATCACCATTCATTTTGCTTTCATGGCAGTATTACCCTGTGTAATTTACCTGTAGGAGTGTGTCACTATGAGCTGCTGTGCACCCTTGGTGCCCACCAAGGTAATAATTTAGGAGAGGCTGGCCACGCATCCCTTAACACCGTCCTTCCTCCCCTTGGATGGCACTGTTCCAGGCTACGTAGGCCATGGTGTTGGAACTGCCATCTCAGCTTCTTGTAGTGCTTGAGTCAACAGAGAAGTAGGGCTGGACTTCTCTGGAGTCCAGGTACTGGTGGGGACAACTGAGCAAGTCTCTGGGTGGCAAGGGCGAGCATCACTAGGGAATAGGAGAAACTTTAGCCTTCAGCGCCTTGGCAATCTGTTCTGCCACCCTGCTTGTCAGTGTCACCTCTGCTTGCTGGACGGTGGTGGATGGTAGCCCAGTGCATGGAGATCGTGGCAGCAGAACTGGTCTTTAGGCCCAGGAGGTTTTACAGACTCCATTTCTGGCCTGACTCTTCACACCCTGAAACAAAGGTTGGCAGGGTTTTGGTTCAGTGGGAGGGCACTGGCCCTACTTCCTTGAAGTTCATGTGGTCCAATGACAACAACTTAGGTTGTCTTTGAAGCTGAAAGGAGAAAATAGCCTGGCTCTGTTTCTTGGCCCAACCCCTAGCTCCTAATATACATATGTATCAGAGTAGGCAATGTAAGAGGAGAATTTAGGGGTGATGCTGAGCTGCCCATGTGCCCTGCAGGGAGGGCAGCAAGGCCCGGGTCAGCGTGGCTGCCTCCTGTGTTGCTTACATTACCTTGGGGTTACAGTAACCCAGTCTCCCACAGATGTAATGTGGCCAGGGCAGGGAGAAGCTCTTAATCAGTTGTGTGCGTCAGCACCCTTTCCCTGCTGCTGGGAGGTAGGGGAGGGATGGAGCCTGAAGTCATGTTGTAATTCCCCTGCTGCTGGTTCAGGGTACTGAGCCCTCCGTGGTGCTCACCAGCTCCTGTTGCTCTCTAAGGCTGGACTGGTGAGAGTGAGAACATACAGGAGCCAGCCACAGTGGGAGATCGTGCTGGACAGAGCCGTGCAGACACATCAGTGCACATGCAGGGGTGCCCGATCCATGTCTCAGTGAGTGTTACAACTTAATGTCCAACCCACTCTTTCCCTTTATAGTGTGCACACGGAAAAACATTTTTACAATAAACTCGCTTCTGTAAACGTATTTTTGAATTTTGACATGCCTAGAGGAAAGTACAGGAGTCATATGCGTCTAGTTCAGAGGAGCATTAGCATGAACACACCTACGTAACTACCACCCAGATCAAGAAATAGGACATTTCAGCACCCCAGGAGCTCCCCTCATGCCCTCTCTCTTGTCCCAAAGGAATCCATTATCTTAACTTCAAACACTGTAAATTAGTTCTGCTTGGCTTTGAGCTTTGTGTAAATGGAATCATTCAATGCATTCTCTCTTGTGTCTGAATTCATCTTTGTTGCTGCATCTAGCTATGATCCATGCATTTTCATTGCTGCAATACTTTCCTTATATGCATACATGACAGTTTATCCAATCTGTGTTAATTCAACCAACATCTGGGTTATTTCCAGTTTGGGGTTATTATAAATCTGCTTGTCCATGTCTTCTGGTGCATATATGCATACATGCATGTATTTCTTTTGCATATGTAACTAGAAGTGAAATTGCTGAATCATAGAGAAAATACCCACTTTAATGGGTACTGCCAAACAATGTTTCCAAGTGGTTATACCAGGTTAACACTTCCACCTGCAACATGTGAGACTTCATATGTTTACTGGCTATTCAGTAGAGGGCCTTTTCAAATTTCGTGCCTGTTTGGCTATTGGGTTTTCTGTTTTTCTTATTGATTTGTATTTGTCTCTATTCTGGATATGAGTCCTTTGTTGCGTATACATGTTGCAAATATCTTCTACTCAGTAGCTTGCTGTTTTACTCATTTTGGTGGTGTTTTGATGAACAGAATTTCATTTCATTGTCATTCAGTGTATCAAATTTTTTCATTATGGTCAATTCTTCTTATATCCCATTTAAGAAATCTGTATCAAAGTCCTGCAGATGTGTTTGTATTAGTGTTCTCCAGAGAAACAGAAACAATAATATATGTACATATACGTATACATATATATATAGACCTATATAGATAGAGAGAGAGAGAGATTGATTTATTTTCAGAGATCAGCTCATATGGTCATGGAGACTGAGAAGTCCCATGATGTGCTGTCTTCAAGCTGGAAACCCAAGAAAGCTGAGAGTGTAATTTAGTGGAGTCCAAAGGCCTGAGAACCAGGGCAGTCCATGGTGTAAATCTCAGTCTGAGGGCAGGAGAAGGCGAGGTGAGATGCCCAGCTCAAGAAGTAAGACAGGATAAAGGTGTGAATTGCTCCTTCCTCTGCTTTCAACAGATTGGATGATGCCACCCACCCTAGGAGGGCTGTCTGCTTTACCGAATCCACTGTTTCAGATGCTCATAGACACACCCGGACATCTTCACAGACACACTCAGAAATAATGTGTAGCCCTGGCTGGGTATGTCAGTTGGTTAGAGTATTGTCCTGATACGCCAAGGCTGTAGGTTCAATCCCCAGTCAGGGCACATACAAGAATCAACCAGTGAATGCATAAATAAGTGGAACAACAAATCTATGTTTCTCTCTCTCTCTCTCTCTCCCTCTCCCTCCTTCCCTCCCTCCCTCTGTCTCAAATCAATAAATAAATAAATAAAAAAGAAAAAAAAGAATGTTTAAGCTGGGCACTCCATGGCCAGTCTAGTCGACACAGAAAATTACCCATCAAATTTTCCTGCATTATCTTCTAGAAGCTCTATTGTATTACCTTTTATATTTGATGCCTATAATCTACTCAGAATTGTTTTTTTAATATGGTACAGCAAGTTTCATTTTTTTACATATGGATATCTAGTTAATCCAGCATCATTTGTTGAAAAGAGTTTCCCACTGGTCCACAGTGCCACCTTTATCAAAAATGAGGTGTCCACATATGCATGGTCTGTTTCTGTACTGTTTTGTTTCACTGATCTGTAGGTCTGTTCCTGTGCCAGTACCACACTGCCCTAATTGTATCTTTGTTAAAAGTTCTGATGTCCGGTAGAGCTGCACTTTCCACGTTGCTCCTCTTTATAGTCTATAAAGAGCATCTAAGCTACTCTTGGCCCTTTCAGTTTCCATATAAATTTTATAATCAGATGGTCAGTTGCCACACACATGCACACAGACTTTCTGGGATTTATACTGAGATTGCTTTGAATCTATAAATCAATTTGGGAAAAACTGACGATTTTATGATACTGAGTCTTCTACTTCACAGACATGGTGTATCTCCGTCTTTATTTAGGTCCTCTCTAAACCTCCTCAATAACGTTGTATAATTTCCTATGTAGCGTCTTGCTTGTCTTTCCTTAGATTACTCCGAGTATTTGATATTTGTGATACTACTTTAAATGGTATTTATAAATCTCCTTTTCTCTTTATTGCCGATATATGGAAATATAACTTATTTTTATTGACCCTGTAGCCAGCCAGTGATGTTCCTAAATTTATTTATTAAATTCAAGTAATTTGTAGATTTTTTATTTTCTATATACCCAAGTCATATCATCTTCAAATAGTGACAGTTTTACTTTTTCCCCCCCAATTCTCACACCATGTATTTCTTTTTCTTGCCTTATTGCACTGTGAAGTATTTAATGGAAGTGATGACAGCAGGCATCCATGTCTTGTTCTTGATCTCAGTGAGAAGGGTTTTTACCACAAACTTAGATTATGAAAATTTGCACTGGAATATTCTTTAGTATACCCTTGATTTCACTTGTCCCCAAGATGAGTTT